AAAGGGACTAGCAGCCTTAGTGGTTAAAGATGAGGAAAGACAAGGGAAAGTGAAGGCTACTACTCAGTGGCATACCTAGTGCACTTGACACTCATAGCAGATTATTTTTTAACACCCTCTCCTCTATACGACAAAATTAATTTCAGTAATAATCATGAAATAAAACAAATAATAATGTCCAGAAAAGAAATGCAAAGTTAAGATTTTATTTATTGAACTTTGTATATGTAATCATGCCAGTAAAAAAATTAAAGTTTCACCAGATTGGATGTTAAGAAACACACCACCTAATATCAGTAGGAAGGTTCTAATGAATGGGAGCTCCAATTTCAAGGGAAGTAATGTTTTGCAATATCTGAAAGGTCTTAATAAAAAGTTATATCACAACTATTTGGAGGATTCCCCCCCATCAACACGCCCTATTGTGGAGTCAGGACTTATAAAAGAACCCCCAAACTAAAAGGAGATGGCAGGCAAAAGACAGGGTTTTTTTTACAAACTTTGGGCAAGAGGGGAGCTTTTTCTCTTCAGGTGAGGTGCATGAGGTGAAGATCTGGGGAGGCAAAAAGTGTGCATGCAGAAGCCCTGCTGGTCTCAGTCTGCTCACCTTTAGTCACTTTTTTGGTCTCGTGGTAGCACATCCACAGTCAGTTCTTCATATGATATGCACGTGTAACCTCAGCTTGTGAGTTCTGTGGGGCCGAACGTGGAATAAATTTTGCAATCATTCAGAGAGAATAAAACATTTTTTAAAAACTTTTCAATTAACATCATGTAACAGAAACATAGAACTTAGTAACATAACAGAACAGGGATCTTTTAAAATCCAAACCATTAATTTCTCCCTTCTTCACAGCCCGCCACCCCCAAAGTCCATCCTTTCCCTCTTGTTGGTGGGTCAGGAAGTCTCCAGCTGAACACTCTGTGCACCAACTTTTAAAGTGAAGGTCCCAGTTGAACTCCCCACTAGATGACCCAGCCCTGAAACAATAATTCTAAAATTTACAGTTTAGAACAAAAGTCTCCTTCCCTTACCAATGTCCACCCTTAAATCATAGTTACCTTAAATACGGTGTTAAGAGCCTATGATTAAGGCTCAAGCTCCCCAAGCAGAGCAGTCTTGCTTCCCTCCTCTGCTTTCCACACCGTTTGCACTCTTCAGCCTCTAGAGGCTCCACCCCTCCCTGGATCATTCCATTCCTAGCAAAGGGTTACACATGCTGGCCCCAAAGCAGCCCTCAGCATGCCGAAGGCAGAGCCAAGGGCTGCTGTGGCGCCAATATGCAATAGGCACCTGCCCTCAAGCTGCAGCTGGAGCAGAACCTGGAGGCAGGAGCAGCCCACCGCGCACACACCTTCCCTGCTGCCCCCATCAGGACTTGCCCAGCGGCAGCCTCTCTCCTTCCAGGAACCCCCCTCTCTCCTTCCAGGAACCCCCCATCTTTCTGCTGCCATTGCACCATGCCTGCCACCACCGGCTGAAGATACTTCCTCAAGCTGCACCTGGGGTGGACTGCTCCCACTGCCCTCCCCTTGGTACACCACTGCTACTACTGTCATAGGAAACAGAGAAAACTTAATGCAACTATGAACTTCCAACAAAGCAAAATAATCTTTTTTGGAGTACAGAATGATATTATGTCTCGAAGCTACAGCAATAGAACCTCCTAACCTTTACATTTACTCTCTTTCAGCTGGGTCCAGTCTCGTTTCATATCCTTGTAAGAGTGGGAAGAGGCAGCTCCTGAGCACATTCTTTTTATGCAGACTGGAAGGTCGGTAGTTCAGCAGTTCGAGACCCGAGTGGGCCACATGACAGAGTGAGCTCCCGTCTCTGGTCCCAGCTCCTGTCAACCTAGCAGTTTGAAAGCAAGAAATTGCAAGTAGATAAATAGGTACTGCTTCGGTGGGAAGGTAACAGCATTCTGTGTGCTTCGGCGTCTAGTCATGCTGGCCACATGACCACAGAAACGTCTTCGGACAGTGCTGGCTCTTCGGCTTGGAAACGGAGATGAGCACCGCATCCCTAGAGTCGGATTCGACTGGCTTTCAAGAAAGGGAAACCTTTACCTTTACCATGTTGAGTCTCTGGTATCTCCAGTAAAAAGATCCCAAGTGGCAAGTGCTGGGGCTTTACCGCTGGTCAGAGTAAATAACAATAAGACACAAGGAGGGGAAAACAAACTTGACCCAATACCTGGAATCAAGAACCACAAGGGTAAGAAAGAAGCCTGATAAAGGTCTAGTATTAAAAACCTGGTGTAAACTTACTATATCCAAAAATACATGCATTTATTAGAAAGACAGTTAAAAACATATAAGGACCCAAGCTTAACCAACTGTATCAGTATTGCTTTGGTCTTGGAGTGCTGTAGCCTTCCAGTGCCCACGTTCTAAGGCAGATAGCTCAAAAAGACTAGGGAGGAAGGACGTCTCCAATTAGAGAGGGGTGGTGTGTGCACAATAGCCCCTCTCCACCAGCTTGGACTCACTGTCCATCCAGGAGTGAAGCAACACAGAGCTCTGTCCTCTGTTGGAGGGGGAAGGGAACATGGGCTCCCAGGAGAGACTGGCAGGCAATAAAAAGAGGCCATGCACATAATGTGAGGAGCAGCTTTTAGAGTTGAAAATTTTGCATTTCCCGAAGATGTTCCTTCTGTACCTTCCGTGAAACAATCTGCTATCATCTCTGCTTGCCCTACTATTACCAGCGATGTTTATTAAAATCTATGTGATGCAAATATGAACAAGAATGAACAGCTAGTTGGTTTCCACTTAAAATTGTTAACTAATATATGTAATAAGTTTGACCATCTTCTCACTTTTCTTTTTCATGAAGACAGTTGCAGAGGGCAACTGTGATGGTCTGCAGCACAGCAGCTAGATTCTAGTCCAGTAGTACCTTATAGACCAAGACTTTTTGAGCATGCCTTGACCCGGATAGCCCAGGAAAGCCCGATCTCGTCAGATCTCGGAAGCTAAGCAGGGCCGACTCTGGCAAGTACTTGGAAGGGCGCCCTCCAAGGAATAACAGAGGTGGGACGCAGAAGTAGGCTAATCAAGCCACCTCTCTGAAAAACATCCAAGCCCCCGGTAGGGGTCGCCAGAAGTGAACCATGACTTCCAGGCAAGCACACAAACACACACACACACACACACACACACACACAGGGAGTATGAACTTTCGAAAGCCAAAGCTCCCTTAGTCAGAAATGAGAATCAAAGCTCTCTTCATCAGATATGAAGGCAGCGTTGACTCCTGAAAGCTCATACACCCAAAATCATGGTGGTCTCTAAGGTGCTAGTGAAATAGAATCCAGCTGGACTTCTATTTATCTGTTTCTGATGTGGTATCATTATCATATTCACATTCGGAAAGACTAGCAACTGATACCAAAAGTTTACTAAAGGTTGTAAGAAACAACACATGAGCAACACAATCCAGCAGAGGGAAACTATTCTGTGTGCCTATTGATTACTGGTTTAGGAAGCTGTGGATGTAAATCAGAAGGACAACAGAAGTGTTGATCTGTCCTCCATTGCTTTTGGTAGATTTGGAGGCATTTGCTCATCCTGGGGCAGCCAGTCAATATAAGTAATTCTCATAAACCTAACTAGAGCTGAATTGTGGCAGGTGTTTTACAAAATGCCATTTTTTTAGTAAACCTGCTATGTAAAAACACAGAAGGAAATAACCTGCCTAATTACATATGGAGAATAAGATTATTCTTTCTTTCCTTTTAAAAAAGTTTGGATTTCATATTTCTAAAGGTAGAGAAGGGAAGGAAAAATGGGATCTAGGGCTTGGTTTTTTATTTCAAACTCTAAGATGCCATTAAGGATCGCTACTGTTCAGTACAAAACACATTGTTGGCAAGATTCTTGAATCAGAAAACACTTTCAAAGATTATGGAGGAACTCAGCTTTGGCTGGATGACCTATTAGCTAATGGAAGAAGTAGCACAATGCCATGCTCAGTTTCTCTAGCAATAGTTAGCTTGTTGAACAATACTTTTAATCTTGGGTGATTACTCTCTTGGGGTCGAGCTGTGAACTGCATTGAACTCCAGTGAAGTTTAAGAAGGAAGAAATTGAAAGGCCCAAACAAAATGGAGTCCAATGAGAGTCAAGTTCAGTAACACCTTAGAGATCAACAAGGATTTTGGGAGGTATAAACTTTCAAGAGCCAGAGCTCCTTTTGTCAGATACCAAGATTTGATGCTTGAAAGCTTATACCCCCAAAATATTTTTGGCCGCTAAGGTGCTACTGAACTTGAAAATCTAGCTGTTCTACTGCAAACCAACACAGCTACCCTTTTCCCTGGGGAAGAAACCATGGCTCAGTGAGAAAGCAGATACTTCAAATACTGGACATCCCAGCTTCAAGGGATCTTAGGTTGCAGATGATGGGAAATATCTTTATCTCTTCAAGAGCCTGGAAAATTGCTGCCTGTCAAAGTAGACCGTACTGAACTAGATGGACCTATGGACTCAGGCAATATTCAGATTGCTACTGTTTGTATTCAGAATAAACTCCAGTTTCTTCATGTTGAGAATTAGTTGGGTATCCTTAAGATAATGTGCTGCCTCCCTCCTTCCCTTGAATGTGAGGCTTAGACTGAAGACTGTTTTGTACTGAACAATCTTTGATCTGACGGTCGTTTAGAACTCCGGTGAACATGAAACAAACAGTTCTAGCTTGCTGACAAGCCCAGGTTTTCACATCATAACAAACTGTGGTTAAATTGGAGCTTGTTGATGAAACCGAAATGAAGGTTTTGTATACATTTTATTCTTATCAGCCAATATTCTGCTGTGGCTAAAGTGGTAAACTGGAAGTAAAAAAAATGAGGCTCATGTTCCTGCTCAGATAGGTTGCTTAGTAGATGGCTCTGTGCTACACTTATTGTGAGGCTTAAATGTTGTTATAACCTCCTTGGGGGAAGGGAAGGATAGTAATGAAGCAAATAAATATGAACAAATAAATCTCATTCAGACAATATTTAATTTCTCACAAAATCAACAAGAACTCTGTAATTACACAAAGAAAAAAATCAGCACTATGCATTCCAGATGCAAACTTAGGTGTTCTGCCTGCAGAATCTGGAATTCAATGTTGAAAAACTGGGCCATTTCACTGAGCAGCAAGACAAGGTTGTGCTCAGAGATTTCAAAATGCTCCCATGACAGACAGCGAGCGAGAGCAAAGAGGTAAAAGTGAGAAAATGGAACGCCAAGTGAAATCAACAACTTGCTTCTTTTGCCTTTGTTTTACTGCTCTGCATCAGCCTCCAGTAAAAACTGACTGCTGGCAAGTACAAAATCAAGCATCTGACTTCAAATGCAAAAGAATTTGGAAGGCCCTGCCCCCATGACTCAGAGCTTTCCAACTGAAATAATGTTTCCCAGCTGGCCAGCAATTTTGGGAAAGCGGCATCATTTTACCCTCTGCTTTGGAAACATGTCAGGGACAAAAGCTAACATATAAATGGCAGAGTTATGATTTTAATAGAACTTCAAGCACTGTCAGAGAGGAAACTGGAACCCTCAAACTACTTTGAATAAGAAGAATCGAATCCAAAGGCCTGAAGCTGACTGTTGAGAGAAAATAAAGTCAGACAGATTTGTGCAAGGTCCCTGAGTCACTGGACTGATTCCCTTGGTGCATTTTTGTACATACAGGTCTGCACTTGTATACCAGGGAGTGTACATTTTCATGTACACATGTGTAGGAAGGAAATCAGTCTTATAACCCAAACAGCAGACCTATTCTTCCAGCTGTGCTGTGCAGTTTTCTACATCCAAGGCCCCCAGGCCCCAGTTGCTGCTGGGTCACAACGGGGGTCATCGTCTGGGTAGAATACAGGAACAGAGTCCTTGTAGTAATGTTGAAGACGGGAGAGAAGTTTTTTCACAATGTCAGGATATTGTTCCGACAAATCGTTTCTTTCCTCAGCATCATTAACAACATCAAAGAGCCAAAGTTTCTTTGTTGGTGGGTCAGAGGACAGTGTCTTTGACTCGTTGAATAACGGTGGTGCTGGAAACCAGTGACTACAGCCTGTAAACAGAGGCAGTGCAGATCAGAGGTTAGCTGGGGAAACATTAGCTCCATAATTTGTTTCCAGCCTGTTCATTGATCTGGCTTGTTGAATTTCACAGAACTGGAATTGAAGCTGCCACCAGGAATATGGTTTTTCTATAGAGACGAGGGATGTTTTGACTACTCTGGTTTGATTCGTAGTTGGGTATTTCTGTTATGTTTTCTTGGGAGGAAACTGTGGTAGCCTTTTCCTCTGATTGTAATGACAACACTCAATGATGAAATTGACCTTAAAACAAATGTCTGTTTAGTGTATGATGGATGTAAAAATGGCAGTCAGGACCCAAGACAGCTAATAACAAAAATAATCTATTAAAATAATTCAAACACATAAGCCATAGCCCCACCTATAACCTTCCAGCTGTCCCATAAGCACTCTTGAACAGCTCTGTATTACAGCCTTGCAGTGGCATGGCCTCACTCCTTCCAGGAGGCTGTTCCATAGCAGGCCCGGTCCGCAAGAGACAGAACTCTTTAGAGTGAGGGGACAGCTAGAAGACCCAAGCAGCATAATTTCCACACAAGTTTATAAATATGTGGGCCTCTGGTCATGAAGGGCTTTAGAAACAAATAGGCAGCCAGTGAAGAAACTTAAGACTAGTGTATGCCATACACTGTAAAAGTGTCATTCAAAGATAGTAAAAGCAAAACTTCTCTCCTTTTTAGGAGAGGGAAATAATAAAAAAAAGTGTCATTCAAAGATAAGCAGAGGGACCTTGGTAAGACACAAGGTGCAACATGGAGCACCTGCCAGAAGTAAATTTAGCTGCAGTTGTAGCAACTGGATCACTGAACAAGGGAACCTGTTGCTGGCCAGTACCTTCTCTTTTAACTACACCTTTATGCTGTTTTAAAAAGTTATAGAGGACAGGGTGCCACAGTGAAGCTGCATGGAACATTTATTTTTTTCTGGAACAGCCGCATATTTCACCAACTGTCCCTAGTATGTTGAAAGACATAACATGGGAGAAATAGATGATGTCATTATGTTCCTATTGTAAGACACAGTGGAAAGGAACTTAGATTGCCTTGTCCTAACAATTAGCTCTTTCTTTATGCTCTGTACCATCATTTACAAGTTGCTATCAAAGCCAATATACTTGATAGAATGGATTACAATATTCAAGTCCCATATCTGAAGATGGGAGGAAACCACTGTTCCCTCTAAGCTGAGTTAGTGTGAGCTAGCTCACTGTTTTTTAGCCTCCAGCTCACACATTTTTATCTTAGCTCAGGAGGGATGGCTCCAGAGCAAACTAATTTATGCAGCAGCCAAATTACTTGCTCACAACTGTATTGCCAGTAGCTCACAAAATAGAATTTTTGCTCACAGGACTTCATAGCTTAGAGGGAACATTGGAGGAAACCCACAGAAAATTACCTGGATTGCCTGTTAATAGTTTCCATTTTCCATATCGAATTGCAGCATGTATGGAAGTATTGAAAATTGAATCTTCCCATGAAAAATAATTACTTTGTGGTGCTGTACTTTTGCTGGTATCTGTACCTAAAGACACAACAGAAAATTAGAATTATAACTGCTGGAATACATTATTCAATACTAGAAAGCTATTGTGCATTTGCAAGAAATAATTTAAACTTCAATCACACAGGGTCAAGCAAAATATTTGCAAGGCTATGAGAGTGTCTGGAACCATCCTGACTGCATTTGGTACAAACATGCCTTTCTTTTTGTATGATAAAGTGCTAAAAAAATTGTTCTGAACATTTGCTGCAAAGCCCACTTGTGGTCAGTACTGACTGGCTAGCTCTTGTCATCAAACCTACCCTGCCAATTCGCAGAGCAGTTTTGCAATTATTTTAAGGATGTTTGTGCTTTGTGTTCAAATTTTTGTTGTTCAGTCGCACAGTCGAGTCCGACTCTTCGCGACCCCATGGACCAGATCATGCCAGGCCTTCCAGTCTTCCGCCGTCCTCTGAAGTTTGCTCAACTTCATGTTCGTTGCATCTATGACCCTGTCTAACCATCTCATCCTTTGCCGTCCCCGTCTTCTTTGACCTTCAATCTTTCCCAGCATCAGGGTCTTCTCCAGTGAGTGCTCCCTTCTCATTTGGTGGCCAAAGTATTTGAGCTTCAGTTTCATTATCTGGCCTTCCAGGGAACAGTCAGGGTTGATTTCTTTTAGGATTGACTGATTTGATCTTCTTGCAGTCCAAGGGACTCTCAAATATTAAATGTATAAATGTGTGTTCAAATACTAAATGTATAAATTAATGGAAGGTGGCGTATAAAAAAATAAAGGAGGACAACCTGCTTGAAGAATGAAGGAAGAGCAAGATGGACAGACGATGCAGTGTTTCAACTGACAGAATATTCTTCACCTAAACCACAGTCCCAAGGTAAAGAACTCCATGGTGACATCCATTTAACTATTTCACCAGCCTTCATTCATAGGATGCAATACTATGGAAGAGTGGAAGAGGAAGCTCTCTGAAACAGAGACTATCTAGCATGCACTGAATATGTTCATAGGATCCAAACCATTAAACAGAAAGAGTTTGTGGGAAATGATCTTCTCCACCTCCATTTTTCCTGGAAGACCCCTGAAAATCCTCTGAAAGTATCAAAGCACTCTCCTGAATAAAATTTGATGTAACATGGGGAACTGAGAGAAATCACCCTTCCTTCTTGCAATTAAAAAAAGTCTTCTGGTGTTTTAAAGACACACATACAAATTATTTATTTATCAGCTTTATAGCTCACCCTTCTCTGTACAACAGGGCTCAGAGCAGGTGACGTATTGATATAAACAATTTTCATAATTGAAAATTATTAAAACAACTCTTGCAGTACTACAGGCAACCATTAAATCAGTACATAAAAAGGGAAGCACAACATGGTGCCCCTTATCCAGGGGAGAATAAATATCATACAGAATGGTAAATAGAGAATATCCAACAGGGGAAGGGGAGAGGGGGGAAAGGAAGGGAGGGAGGCCAGCCTAGATGGAATCTGTCGTCCTCAATCATAGGCTCTATGGAACATCTCTGTCTTACAGGCCCTGCAGAACTGCATCAGATCCCGCAGGGCCTGGATGACACTCGGCAGAAAGTTCCACCAAGATGGGGCCAGGGCTGAAAATGCCCTGGCTCTGGCTGAGGACAGCCAGATACCTTTCGGGCCAGGGATCACCAGTAAGTTGTTATCCATTGAGTGTAATGCTCTTTGGGGGGGTGTACCAGGAAAGGCAGTCCCGCGGATAAGCTGGTTCCAGACCGTTTAGGACTTTAAAGGTTAATATCCTGAAAATGCCCTGGCTCTGGCTGAGGACAGCCAGATACCTTTCGGGCCATGGATCACCAGTAAGTTGTTATCCATTGAGTGTAATGCTCTTTGGGGGGGTGTACCAGGAAAGGCAGTCCCGCGGATAAGCTGGTTCCAGACCGTTTAGGGCTTTAAAGGTTAATACCAAAACCTTGAACCTCATCCAGTTCTCGACCTGGAGCCAGTGCAGTTGGTGGAGTACCGGTTGAATATGGGCTATAAATGGGGTTCCCGTAAAAGCATGCGCTACCGCATTCTGGACCAGTTGGAGTTTCCGGGTCAGTCTCAAGGGTAGCCCTGCGTAGAGTAAGTTACAATAGTCTACTCTGGAGGTGACCATTGCATGGATCACTGTGGCTAGGTTGGGGCGAGACAGGAAGGGAACCAATGCTTAACCTGGCAGAGACAGAAAAACGCCAATCTAGCCATATTTGTGATCTGGGCCTCCATCAAAAGGGAGGCATCCAAGATCACACCCAAACTCTTGAGAGTCAGTGCTGATGTTAAAGGCACACTGTCAAGAGCCAGGAGTTGGCATCCTAACCCTGCACACACACCCCAGTCCAGCCACAGAACCTCTGTTTAAAACAGATTTAATCTCAGCTGGCTCTGTTTCAACCAACCAACCACAGCCTCCAAACCCTTGGCCAAAATGTAGTGGCATCCAGTCAGCCACCCATCAACAGGTACAGCTGGGTGTTATCTGCACACTGATGGCAACCCAGCCCAAAACTCCTATCAGCTGGCCAAGGGGGCATATACAGATGTTAAATAACATTGGGGAGAGGATTGCCCCTTGAGGGACACCACACACCAAGGGATATCATGGTGAAACCCTCTCCCCAAGCACCACACACTCTGTCCCCAACCTTGGAGAAATGAGACAAGCCATTTCAAGGCTGTCCCACGGATCCCCACATTAGTGAGGTGGTGGGTCAACAGACTAAAATCGACCATGTCTAACACTGCTGTCAGATCGAGTAATAACATCAGCGCTGACCTGCCTCGATTCAGCTGTCTATAGAGATCGTCTGTGAGAGTGACCAGCGCTTCTCCATCCCATGGCCGGGGTGGAAGCCAGATTGGAATGGGTCCAGGGCTGACGTGTCCTCCAGGAAATCCTGGAGCTGTTCCTCTGCCGCTATCTCAACCACCTTACCCAGGAACGAAAGATTTGGTACTGGGTGGTAATTGGACAGATCAGTAGGATCCAGGGACAGTTTCTTCAAGAGTAGCCTTTCCACTGCCTCCATTAATCTTACTATAGCATAAGACTTTGTGAACTAGAATCTTCTCCATTAGAGGCTTAAATTCTATCTTCTTTTGGAAGACTACACATAACAGATAAAAGGAAATGAAATATAAGTAGTCTGTAAATATTTCTATGGAAAGCTCCCTATATAGAAAAGTACCTTCACCATTCACTGCAGCAGTAACTGTCAATAATGTCATTGCTAAGCTAATTTAACATCTGTAGTAAATGAGAAAACCTTGGCCTTAAGAAGGACTCACACAAGAAATAGAGAGCCAGTTTGGTGTAGTGGTTAAGTGCGCGGACTCTAATCTGGGAGAACCGGGTTTGATTCCCCACTCCTCCACTTGCACCTGGCTGGATGACCTTGGGCAAGCCGTAGTTCTGATAAGAGCTGTTCTTGAAAAAGAGCAGTTTCTGTCAAGAGCTCTCTCGGCCCCACCTACCTCACAGGGTGTCTGTTGTGGGGAGGGGAAGGGAAAGGAGTTTGTAAGCCACTCTGAGACTCCTTTGGGTAGTGAAGGGCAGGGTATAAATCCAATCACTTCTCTTCTTCTTCTGATAAATTCTAGCTTAACAGATTCAGGCTGGGGTCTATTTTGGAACATCTTTTGTTAAGTAATGGTGACTGGGCTCTTTTAGAGACCCTGAATGCTTTGCTGTGACCAGCCCTATGGAGTATTCTCTAACAGAGCAGTAGGATTTAATAAGCGTGTGTGTGTGTGTGTGTGTGTTGCCCATCTTTGCCTGTGTGCTGGCAGAAGAGAAAGCAGGTCTGATGATCAGCAATGTGTGAGGCCTGAGAAAAAGACTGAGCCTTTAATTTGGCGCTGCCAATAATGTAAATATTATAATGAACATGTGTTACCAGCCTTTCAGGCTGATGAGATGGATGCAACCTGGGCTAACTACAGCCCTAAGTAAATGCTAGGAAATGCACACACAAGCCACAGCTCCTACAGTTTCTAGTAACCCTCTCTTCTCCTAGGGAAGTCTCAAAACTTCCTCCTAAACTAACTATTTAGCATTTATGCAACACTTTAGATGGTTCAAAACACTTCCTTTATTAATCCCAGTAATCCTTCAATGTATACAGTCCTGTATAATGGACACAATTGTTCTATAGGGCAATTGGAGAGTTTAGGATAAGAATCTTTTGCCTAAGGGCCAGTACAGAACTTGCAGCATTTTATTAGGTTGGGAGTGAAGGAATTTATGAAGAGAAACTCCTTTTCAAGAAGCACTCATGATAAACATTTCAGTGAGATTTGATATGCTTTCTTACAACAATAACTTTCCCACACTGTTTAACAATTCATAAGTGTAATATAAGCCAGTTCATACTACTCCTACCTTCCAGAATAAATGATGCTGCTTTGTGTTGTTCCTTGCACTCTTTAAATTTCATTAAACTTTTAACTGGGATTTTAAAACTCTTCTCAAGACCTTTCAACATGGGGAACCGGAATGAAAGGCAGTGATTGCCAGACACAAGCTGAAGCAGAAAATCATGAGGTAATGCGCTGCACATGGTATTTATTATCTGGGCCGGAAAATTCAAATCTTTCATCATTTTGTGTACATTCCATATGACTTGTTTCAAATTGACTCAAAGTTTTGATTTTCAGTTTACAAAGCAAACATCACAGACGATATGCTGCAATTGTAATTTATATTTAAAAGATTTCAGGACAGCCAGTATCTATTTTCTCTAGAGGTACTGGCAGACAAAAATGAAAAACCAGATTCTCAAGGTATTATCTAGAAACAACTGAACTTAAAATATAAAGCTTCTGCCCTGATCCCCTGGTCCTATGCCTAACTGAAATACTGCCTGAGAACATGTAACCATGCCTCTCTTCTTCTTTCCTCTTCCTCTTACCCCCTTCCCCACTCTGTCGTCTCACTACGGCTGATTTCGCACTAAAGCTTCCTCGATGTTGCGCCGCCGTTTGCCCCGATACTATTG